TTGTGTAAGTTACGAAGACTCGTGAGCAGTAGTTCAAATAAGCGAATCACTTTCTTCAAACGCGGGCAGATATCGCTAAACGACCTCACCATCGAGTCGGTTACATCAAATAGGACCGCTAAATCAAGCGTTGCGAGTCTTCAAGCTAATGATATTTATTCATATATCACAAATTCATTTATAATGAATGTCAGAAAGTAGCATTTTTCGGCAAATTTTTCTACCCTGCATAACAGAACAAATGTCATTTGTGTCTGGTTAAGACCAAACTCGATGTTCTGAGGAATACGTTACATTCCACATACAGATCTAATGATATCCAGGTGGTGAAATACAAAGCTTTCTCCAGATCCGATTGACTGTTGTCTGTTCCGATTAGGATGAAACGCATTTATCAAAAAGCAGGTAAACAAGCACTACGATTGTCAAGATACCGTTCTGTTTCCATTCGGCCGGTTGGTCTTTTCAGGTCAGTCCTCGTCTTTTTCAAGTTTCACACTACACACGCGCAGACATGGTGAACAGAACAACGATACACGTACACCTTGAAACTATGTAGTTTCTTCTATGAATGTGGTCGGCTTGGCGTTCAATGTGTTGCATGTCTTGTTTGATTTCACTTTGATGACGTGACTTCCTGAAGCTCGTGCGCATGACGAATCACTCGATAGTTACGATCGGTGAACTGATTTTTCCTTCGGCGAACACAAAAAAAACAATCATGGCTTGTTGCAAACATTTTAAAAAAAATCATTCTTTGACTGATTTCGAAATTGTGATGCACAGTTTGTTTCTGTGCAATACAGTATGACTGTTTTCAGAATAGAAAGTCAGACTAATGAATGAGATTATCGTAACATCAAGTAAACTAAATTGAGCTCACTAAAAGATAGAAGTTGGTCGACTCCAATAGATAGTTGGGTAGTTAAATTTGTGAAAAAGTAAACAGTTTGAGCCGTCGCGTGTCACTAAAAAAGCAAATTAATCACTAACGGCAAAACTGGAATGTGTGATGCATTTTGTTTCATCAATAGCGCAAAACCGAGAAACCCAGCTTGAAATCGAACCGGGACTCGCTGAATCAGAACCTGAGCCTACTACCCGGTTTAAAACCAGGCGGTTGATGAAACGACCTCGTGAATTTTATGGCACATTTTGCAAAATGAATGTTGACCATGTTGAGCAAGCTCAATTGAAACCAAATTCCTAACCAATTACTCCGATCAAAAGTTATCAGAAACAGATTACTGCGTGCACTTGTCAAACAATGCTTACCACATTGTCGTGAGCAGATATGTGCTTAGGTACTAGTCTACATTCGCTTACAATTAAGGATGCAAGAACTTTCTGCAGCTCAATATGGGCTTCACCTATGCTGGTGCAGCTGACTGCCCTAAGGTGATTTAGTTATGTAAGGTCCACAGACGAACGGAAGTATGTACAACATTGGTTGTGTGTGTGTGTGTGTGTGGAAATACAATATAGTGTAGACTCTTATCCAAGAGATTAAGCTGGCAATCTGAACAAATGAACGGCACGCAAGTATCAGAATATAAGAGCATATTGTGCTTCTTGTAACACAATGCAACTTCGAACTCACTTCAAGTCGGTTGCCAATGTGGCGAGCCTAAGAAAAATAGCAATCCTATTTCAAACAGTAACGTTGTCAAAAACTTAACGGGACTGCTCTGGTGGCTGTCCTTCTGACGAAAATCAAGTTATGCACTTCATGGGTGTTGATCGGTTCATACGTGCTTGCGATGAATTCCGCTATCAGTTGATTAAATCGCCCCCCCCCTCTTTGTTCGCGCATAAGTAAGCTACGGAAATTACAGTGTAATTTCATAATTACGCAACACACAAAATGGTCTGAGCTGTTGGTGGATAAATGTGTATATTTGTGTGTGTGCACACTATGCTCGGCCGGTTGGTAACAAGCAACAGTGAGACCATAATAAATGAGTGAGAAGGATGTCTGAGATACCAGCAACAGTTTGTCAAATGGAAAAGAAAGAAACCAGGATGAGTGCGGGAACGGAACACCAATCAACGGGTTGAGATTGCATGGAAAAAAGCCAGAGACAAACGTGATACTACAACCATACACATTTCCGATCATGTTAATAATAACGCTCAATTCTGGCTTTATTGCCCGTACGATTCCGACTTCATAAACCTCTGATATGAGTAAATGCAACAGGAACCGAGATCTTTACATGTCATTCAGTTGTCTGTTTTTTTTGCTTTTCGGTTCAATTATAATATTCTATAGAAATTTTAATCAATCTATTACAATCTATGTTCTGCTGATTCCCACACCCTCACACGCAGACACAATACAGCACAACAGATATTCCCTTATTTGTACTTGACAGCCATTTGCACATTCTTATTCCTTTCGCTAATCTGTATTGTTCGTTTGTCATCGCCAAAATTGGTCAAACGGTTGAGGTCACCAGTCTATCGCCCAGAAGGACGTGTGTTCGAATCGCAAGACAAACACCCAACTTTTCCCCCAAGTTCTCTGTGCGTTAGCCCCCTGATTAACCTCTTCTGCCTTCCGGAAACTCGCTCGTATCGTTATTTATACATTCAACAGATGGAAGAATGAAAGTAAAGAGAAGAAGAAAGAAAGCAAGGGTTGCGGATTGTACAATACTGAGCTCATAATGCTGCCTTAAAACCACACTGACCATGCTGCACATATTCTGCTATGACCTCGTGCTTAACCACCGATTTTCCTTGTACTCCTGTCGCAGTTCCTCCACCTCCGCTCGATATCCGAGCAAGCCGTATCAATCAACATCAGATCAAGGTCACCTGGCGAATACCGACCGGTGAGGAACTGGGTCCCGGTGCTCGGCATCTTTCCATTCTGGGATTTCGTGTCCTCTATTCGGCCAACAACAACCCGTACGAGGCCGGTCAATGGACGTCATTCGACGTGGGACCAGTCAATATGGCTATCATAAGTCATTTGGAGAGCAAAACCAGTTATGTGATCTGTATCAAATCTCGCGGGCAGGATGGTCGTTATGGAGATTGCAGCCAGCCGGTGATCAGCCGCACAGTTAGTACAGGGAGCGAATCAGACTTTTCCGTTCGAAATCTACTCTGTACGGGTGACGCAACAAACGTGAAAGTGACATGGCAACAACCGATCCGGACGAAACAACTGGAGGGGTTCAAGGTGAGCACCGTTTTTTTATTTATCGAGTGAAAAGCCAGGAGAAAAAGAATATTCTTTGTATGTGATTCTCGTAAAATTTAACTGCCAAACTCAGAGAATTACAAAGCTATATTCGACTTTCATTATTGACCGATTGGAGGCGAACTGGAACTTCCTGCGAACTGACTGAAGATCACTTTCACAAACCAATTGAAATGAAGTTCGAACCCATGGTTTAAATTTTCTTTAATGGCTATGTAACTTCGAACTAATCTTGTGCATGTTATATGGATCAAAAACCCCAGACGAGTAATACTTTTAAAAACGAATAGTTGTTTTCAGTGCCTTTGTATCCATGCACTGACGCGAAATCGACGAGTTAAATAACATGTTCACCTCTTCCCTTAGTTAAAGAACATCCTATTTGTATGCAACTTCAAAAATGATCTGCCATGATTAGGGTCACTGTGGAATCCCTATAGTTGAGTAAAACAGAACAACTCTAATGTGATCCTGCTTTGGAAAATAAAACAAAATAGTCTTATCACGAGATTGCTACGCAGGAGTCAGCACATCCGGTTACTGAAAATCAAGCCATTTCATTGTTCAGCACTTGTGGGTTAAGAGATACACACGTCGATCGAGAGAAGGATTTCCAATGATGTGTGCTGGACTACCAAAGATATTCCTCT